AAGGTTCTGAGGAAGAGTCACCGGACCCGAAACGTTAACTCTGTTTTCTCCTCCACAGATGCTGCCAGATCTGCTGACCTTTTCCAGCAACTTTGTTTTTGTTGTTGTTGTTGTTGTCTCAGTTAGTCTAACTCGCTGCAAATCCCTTTGAAGGTTCCAAACCTTTGGCAGAAGAAGGTAATTGATCTCAGTGGGTATTGATTCTGCTCTCTAAAAGCATGGCCACTCCAGTGGGAGATGAGGGAATTCAAAAAGTAGTTATTTAAGCATATGAGTGTGAGAACAACAATAAGTTCAGAGTCAGTCTGGGATGTGGTTTGGCAGAGAACTTGCAGATGGTGATGCTCCCATGTGTCGGCTGCCATTGTGCTTCTAGGTGGTAGAGGTTGTGGGTCTGTAAAAAGCTGTCAAAAAGCTTTGATGATTACTGGATCTTGTTGGTTGCTTGGGCTGCCAGTGCAGTTTGTATGCGTTCCTGGAGATTTCTTCATGTAATTTCCAGTCACCAATTGTCCCAGAAAGTCAAGTAGCCATCTGCCCATACCATTCCAGCTTCAGTATCTTTATAGTTAATACAAAAATAATATTAAAACAAAAATTAAAAGATACCTTATTTTATAATGACCCTTTAATCTGCAGCACTTTTATTCATGCTGGTGGAACAACAAATTGCAGCAATCGTTTTCCCAGTACTGACTCACTGAAGGTGATTTTAATACGAACACAAAATCTATCTGCCTAGTCTGAGGTTAATCGATGAGCTCAGATTGTCTGTTAACAGATCCAGCTACATCTCCATACTAACCATGGCCCACTGTTATAGGAAGGATATTAGTAAGCTAGAGAGGGTTCAGAAGAGATTTACCAGGATGTTGCCAGGTATGGAAGGTTTGAATTATAAAGAAAGGCTGGATAGAGACTTTGCACTGGAGCGTCGGAGCTGAGGGGTAACCTTATAAGGGTTTATAAATTCATGAGGGGTATAGTTAGGGTTAATGGTAGGTGTCTTTTCCCCAGGATGGGGGATTTCAAGACTAGGGAGCAAATTTTTAAGGTAAGAGGAGAGAGATTTAAAAAAGACAAGAGGGGCAAATTTTTTACACAGCGGGTGGTTTGCCTGTGTATTGAACTGTCAGAGAAAGTGATGGATATGGGCACAGATGCAACGTTTAAAAGACACTTAGATAAGTACATTGTTTAGAAAGGTTTGGAGGGATGTTGGCCAGGAGCAGGCAGGTGGGACTAGTTTAATTATGTTCGGCATGGACTGAAGGGTGTATAACTCTATGACTTGATAACCAATCAGCACCGTCTTCTCATTCTATGGTCTGTTCCAATGTTTGTTTTCTTGCATTTTCTAAACACTTTGATTAGTGTCTCTTTTTAGGAAATTTTAAGGAAAAATATTTTCTCATTAATTTTTAAATTTTTAAATAAATTATTTCAAACTGAGAACGACTTTGTTAGTCAGTGACTGATGCCTCAGGAATAAACAATTCTTCACAATTTCTGCACAACAGCTCTGAATTAAGCTCCTCCATGAAAAACCACGGACGAAATATCTAAACAAAACCCTGGCACTGCAGAGCACATACAATCAGGGAGTTATAATTTTCTGTTAACAAATCCTGATATCATCGTTGCTGCTGAAATTGCTTCAATAACTGTGACTGGTCTGAGATAAATGCGTCAGAAATTGCAGATATTTTTGATCAGCCAATGTGGCTTATGCACATGACAATCAGAAACCCATCACAGGATGTAAATATCTTCTGCACTCTAATAATTCTGTGATTCTGTAAAATACCTCCAGTTTAACTTACTGCCTTTGCCCACTCTAAGCCAGGATTAAACACACCAGGAACAGTATCAGCAGCAAAATGCTTACTCACCTTTGCCACCAGCCATTATTCTTAAGGTTGGAAATTCCATCTCACATTGCAGTTTGAACATAAATTAGGCACAGGCATAGGCCATTTCGTCTCTAAAGTATGGTCTACCTTTCAATAACATCATGTCTGATCTTCACTTTTCCTACTTACCATGTTATCCTTTCATTTCCCTTCCCTATTTCCCCTTTCATTCTCTTCCTCCCTGTTTCCCTGTGATTTTCTATATGACAAGTCAGTAGACTGCCATAATAATTGATTGTGTGAAGTACTTCGTGACCTGTCAACCTGATATTGTATCATATAAATTTAAATCTGTGATTTGGGATTTCTGTTGGAATCTAGGTATGTGTCTATTAATCCAAAAATGTCTCTTATTTTGACCTAGTTGTGAAATTATTGCTTTAGCAATATGGTCCTTCTAAATTGAATTGTACTTTTTACATCAACTGCATTGTCAGAGGGTTAAAGCTTACCAGAGTCTCCTAAAGTGGTTGAAAGACTTTAATTTTCATTGATGAACTTCACAAAATTTCCAGTGATTTTATAGATTCTGTGCCTTGCTAAACTGCAGCGCTAACAGTAGGTTGTAATTTAATCCCAAATTCCTTTCTTTGGGTTTATTTGCAAAATCTTTTGTTCTCACCTGACTATGCTGTGTTTGATATCACTAGAGACAGCGAGCTGTCATATTCAGTATGGTAAAAGGTCAGATAAAAATCATAACTAAGCACCTCTATCTTTACAGTGCAATCAAATATTCCAAGATAAACCGTTTTGACCCAAGGTATCAAGTTTTTGGAGAAACAGTAGAAAAATCTGAGTAAGTAGAATTTAAAGGTACCCGTGATGTATTTTTGTAATAAGTAGTTATAAAATCATTGCTTTCTGTTAGTCTTACAAACTAAAAAGATAACAAGTTTCACACTCAAATGCATCATAACTGCATTTCATCTCCTGTGGCATATTACTATCTATAATATGTGACTAGTTATCTGAATGGACCAGATTTTGCAGTAACAATCACTGCAAAAGTGTCAGTGTTATCCATCGTGATTTTTCTGAAACAGATGCAACTTGTGGAGTCTGGACCGAAACTTTTAGGAATCTGACCGATGTGGGCTATGGCGAGGTTTGTGGCAGAATCGTGTGAGAACTCCAATGAGGATTATCTTGACATCAGGAGCATTTCACTTTGTCTTTTATCCTTGTAACAAAGTCAGTGGCTGGTTTCCAATTAAGGGGGATTATTGCCTGTTAAACACTGTGTTAACAATCAACTCGTCTCTTTAATATTCATTTTACTGCTTACCAACCGCACCAAACAAACTAATTGTTGAGAAAGCAGTATACAATGGTGAGAGTGTGTGTGTGTGTGTGTGTGTGTGTGTGTGTGAGAGAGAGAGAGAGAGAGAGAGAGAGAGAAAGTGTGTGTGTGTGTGTGTGTGTGTGTGTTGGGGGTGGGGCAGAGAGAGAGAGAAAGTGTGTGTGAGTATGTTTGTGTGTGTGTGTGTGTGTGTGAGAGAGAGAGAGAGAGAGAGACAGTGTGTACATGAGAGAGGGTGTGTGTGAGTGTGTGTGTGTGTGTGTGTGTGTGTGTGTGTGTGTGTGTGTGTGTGAGAGTGTATAGTGTGGTGGGGTCACCTGTAGTGCAACATGAACCCAAGATCCCAGTTGAGGCCATCCTCAAGGGCACCGAACTTCGCTATCAGCCTCTGCTCGGTGACCCTGCATTGTTGCGTATCCCAAAGTCCACCTTGGAGGATGTTTACCCAAAGATCCAGGGCCAAATGTCCTTGACTGCTGAAGTGTTCCCTCACTGGGAGGGAACATTCCTGTCTGGCAATTGTTGTGTGATGTCCATTCATCCGTTGTTGGAGCATCTGTATGGTTTTGCCAATTTGAGGCATCCTTGCCTGCTACGTATGAGATAGAAAACGTTAGCCAAGTCACACAAGTGGTGGGTGGTGTTCCCACGTGTGATAATAGTGTCCATGTCGAAGATCTGACATGTCTTGCAGAGGTTGCCATGACAGGGTTGTATAGTGTTGTGGTTGATGTTGCCCTGAATGCTGGGTAGTTTGCTGCAAACAATGGTCTATTTAAGGTTCGACGATTGTTTGAAGGTGAGAAGTGGAGATGTGGGGAAGATCTTGGCAAGGTACTCATTCTCATCGACGATGTGTTGAAGGCTGCGAAGCACATCACGTAGTTTCTCCACTCCCGGGAAATACTGAATGACGAAGGATACCCTATTGGACATATCCTGTGTCTGTCTTCTGAGGAGGTCATTGTGGTTTTTCGCTGTGGCACGTCGGGACTGGCGATCAATGAGTTGAGCATTGTATCCTGTTCCTATGAGGGCATCCTTCAAAATCCTTCAGTTGTCCGTAGCAATCCTCCTTATCCGAACAGATCCTCTGTATGCATAGGGCTTGTCTTAGGGGATGGTTGTCTTAATATGTTTCGGGTGGAAACTAGAGAAGTGCAGCCTCATGAGGTTATCCTTACGCTTGTGGTAGAGTGAGGTATTGAGGTGTCCATCCCTGATGGAGATGTGTGTGTCCAAGAATGAGACTGATTCTAAAGAGTAGTCCATGGTAAGTCTGATGGTGAGATGGAACTTGTTGATATCACTGTGTAGTTGTTTCAGTGATTCCTTGCCATGAATCCAAAGAAAGAAAATGTCAATGTGTCTGGTGTATAGCACTGGTTGAAGGTTCTGTACAGCAAAGAAGTGTTGTTCGAACCTGTGCATGAAAACGTTGGCATATTGCCGAGCAAATCTGGTCCCCATAGCTGTTCCATGTGTCTGGATGAAGAACTGGTTGTCAAAGGTGAAGACGTTGTGGTTGAAGTTGAAGCGGATGAGTTGTAGGATGGCATCTGGAAATTGTGAGTTGGTGGTATTGAGTACTGAGGCTGTTGCGGCAATGCCATCATTGTAGAGGATGCTGGTATAAGTGCCGAAACATCCATCATGACGAGGAATGTTCCTGGTTCGACTGGTCCGTGGGAGCTGAGTTTCTGTAGGAAATCTGTAGTGTCACGACAGAAGCTGCGGATTCCCTGTACAATGGGTTTCAAGATGTCTTCGACATAACCAGAGATCACAGTCCCATTGCCTGATACAATGGGACATCCAGGTTGTTGGCTTTGTGTATCTTTGGAAGGCAGTAGAGATCCCCTGCGCAGGAAGTATGCGGGATGAGAGTGCATGGGGTACTCTGAAGGACTGGATGAAAAGTCTTGACCAATCTGTTCAGTTGACGGGTGTGTTCTTTGGTCAGATCGGCAGGTAGTTGTCTGTAGTGTTCCTGTTTGTTCAGCTGTCAGTACACTTCCTTGCAGTAGTCCATTCTATTCTATATGATGATGGCTCCTCCTTTGTCTGCTGGTTTGATGACAATTTTGGGATTGATCTTGAGAGCATAGATGGCGTTGCATTGTGCCTGGCTGACGTTTTTCACTACCTTGTGAGAATCTGACGTTCATGCATTCTTTAATGGCTTGAGCATATCTGTCAAGTCCCGGGCAATAGCCCTCCGGAGGGGTCCAATTCAACTTCTTCTTTGCCCACTATCCCATGGATCTCTCTGTCGACTGATCCAGTTCGTTGGTTGTCTCATTGGGCTCGCTGCTGACGCTGAATGATGGAATAGGTTCAAGGGGCTGAATGGCTTACTCCTTTTGTTAGGTTCCTATGCTCCTGTGTTCCTAAATGGAGCAGATGAGAATTTTGCCCACCGCTAATAGGCGTTCCCAGTGAATGCTTATGAGGTACTGGTCACAATGTTGACCACGCCTGACTATTATGTGTGAAATTTTAATGTGGATCATTCTCTTTTTCAGCCAATTTAAAGGATCAATAACATTCATTTTGTGGGAGAATACTAATGCCTTAATGGCAATTGCTGAGGTGAGCAATTATTTTGTTCCTTAGCACGCATACAGGAGTTTAACATTGTTCCATGATTTCTTCTTTGCAATAAACATTTACATATCATATTGTATAGTAAGAAAGTTAGACAATACAGCCTCTCAAGCTCCTTCTGTTTGATTCAGGATTTTGTAAGTAGCCTCCACACTTTTGTCATTATTTTTGTCTGTCCCCTTCCAGTTCCATCATGCCAACAGTATTTCGGTCTGATATGACCTTTCTTAATATGAGACCAAAGGGATTTGAATGATACCAAGCCTTTTTCCTCATGTGCGAAATGGACACTTGAAATAACTGCACAGAGGTCTGTAACCTGTCACCAAGTCACCCTTTATTTATATGTGCACAGTATATGGACTCTGACCAGCCCGCTCAAAGCCAGCCCTTAGACTGAGGAGACTTTCTAAATCTCCTGTCAAGATCTCTCAGCCAGGGCTGACAGGGACAAGTCCAATCAGGATCTCACGGTCAATGTGATCCACCTGGTCCATGTTCCAATCTCAACAGCACTCGAGGCACAAGTCATTGGTATTTGCCACCTGGAATACCCGTGCAAGTAAAGTAGTGGGTGTCCAGTACTCTTGCTAGTAACAGACAATAGGCCCAATGTATACGCAAATAAGGTGCCCAGCACCTGTTTTTTTTTGCGAAAAGTTGTGTTAACCTGAACTCAGCTGGTGCCAGGCTGCCTGTATTGAGAAGAAACCTTGTCTATATGCATCCAGCCAGCATACTTTAAAGGTCCAACTTAAAGGTATAGGAGTGGAGAGGATGTTCCTCTTTTGGGAAAATCTATAACTAGAGGCCATTGTTTAAAAATAAGAGGTCACTCATTTAAAACAGATGACGCAAAATGTTTTGTCTGAGCATCATGAGTGTTTGGAACTCTCTCCCTAAAAAGACAGTGGGAGCAGAGTCTTTGCATATTTTAAGGTGGATGTCATTAGATTCTTGATAAACAAAGGGCTGAAAGGTTATCAGAGCCAGGCAGGAATGAGGATTTGAAATTACAATCATATCAGCTGTGATCTTATGAATGGTGGAGCAAGCTAGAAGGACTGAATGGCCTAACCTTACTTCTTTTTCATATATTTGTATGAGTACCCCTCATAGCCTCAAGTTAAAACCACAGTAGCAGCCAGAGACCATGAATGCCTTTGAGTCTGGAATATATATGTAGGCAAGTCAAGTAGATTGATGTATAGTCCTCAGTAGGCTAAATTGCAAGTGGTATATAGAAAAAGCAGGCTTGATCTTCAAAATGTCTCTTTGATTCTTATTTTGTTATTAAGCTGACCTTACTGGATAGATGGTTTTATTATGCATAAGTCCTTCTACCAATCGCTATGATGTCTATATAATATTAAACAGTTTCATATGTATTGTTTCTCCTTTAGTCCCAAGGACAGTGTAAAAACAATGTGATTTCTTAACCTGCATTAGGAATATTACAAAAAGAAGGATCGACATCCAGTCTACCGACCTGAATATCTGAGGGACACATTTGAACAATGCGCAGATGAGCTAATTCAAAGGATGCTATTATATCAAGCTCAGGCTGATATCTATCACAGTAACTGTCTGCAAGGTAACAGGAAAAATTAAATTAAAGCTTCATCAATCTAACTTAGCCAAATATACAAAGAAACATGGGACTGGGATATCATAGCTATTACAGAAACATGGCTTAGGGAAGGGCTGGACTGACAGTTAATGTTCCAAGGTATAGATGCTATAGGAAGGATAGAAAGGTGGAGGTGAGAAGGGAGGGGGAGTGGCGTTTTTGTTTAAGGATAATATTACAGCTGTACTTAGGGAGGATATTCCTGGGAGAACATCCAGTGAAGTTATATGAGCAGAACTGAGAAATAAGAAAGGGATTATCACCTTATTGGGATTGTATTATAGACCTCCCAGTACTCAGCAGGAAAATGAAAAGCAAATATGTAAGGAGATCTCAGGTATCTGTAAATTAATAGGGTTGTAATGGTAGGGGATTTTAACTTTCCAAATGTAGACTGCGACAGCCTTAGAGCTTGGAAAGGAATTTGTTAGGTGTGTACAAGAAAATTTTCTTATTCGATATGTGAATGTACCTACTAGAGAAAAAGCAGAACTTGACTTTCTCTTGGGAAATAAGACAGGGCAAGTGATTGAGGTGTCAGTGGGGTGAACGCTTTGGGGCAAATGATCATAATTCTATTAGTTTTAAAATAATAATGGAAAAGGATAGACCTGATCTAAAAGTTAAAGTTCTAAATTGGATTAAAGCCAATTTTAACAATATTTCAAAAGGAACTTTAAATAGTTGATTTGGAGAATCTCTTTGCAGGTAAAGGTATGGTTGAAAAGTGGGAGGCCTTCACAAGGAGATTTCAGAGACAAGATGTTCCTGTTAGTGTGAAGGGCAAGGCTGTTAGGTGTAGGGAATGCTGGATGATGAGAGAAATTGAGGCTCTTGTCAAGAAAATGAAGGAGGCATATGGCAGGTATAGACAGCTGGTATCGAATGAATTCCGAGAGCAGTATAAAGGCAGTAGGAGTATACTTAAGAGGGAAATCAGAAGGACAAAAAAGGGACATGAAATAGCCTTGGCAAATAGAGTTAAGGAGAATCCAAAGAGATTTTACAAATACATTAAGTGCAAAAGAGTAACTAGGGAGAGAATCGGGCTGTCTATGGGTGAAACCACAGGAGATGGCTGAGATACTAAATGAATATTTCACATAAGTATTTACTGTGGAGACAGACATAGAAGATAGGGAACTTGGGGAAATAAATCGCAGACTTGAAAAGTGTCCATATTACAGAAGAGGAGGTGCTGGATGTCTTAAAATGCATAAAGGTAGATAAATTCCTGGATCTGATCAGGTTTGCCTAACTTTGTGGGAAGCGAGGGAAGCTGGCCCTTGCTAAGATATTTGTATCATCGACAACCACAGGTGAGTTGCCAGTAGACTGGAGGGTGGCTAATGTGGTGGAATTATTTAAGAAAGATAGTAAGGAAAAGCCAGGGAACTATGAACCAGTGACCCTGATGGTGGTGGGTAAGTTGTTGGAGGGAATTCTGAGGGACAGGATTTACGTGCATTTGGAAAGGCAAGGACTGATTAGGGATCATCAATATGGCTTTGTGTGTGGGAAATCATGTCTCACTAAGGTTGATTGGGTTTTTTGAAGAGATGAAGGTTGATGAAGGCAGAGTGGTAGACATTGTCTATGTGGACTTCAGCAAAGCATTTGACAAGGTTTCACATGGTAGACTGGTTAGTAAGGTTAGATCACATGGAATCCAGGGGAGCTAGTCAATTGGGCACAAATTTGGCTTGAAGGTAGGAAACAGAAGGTGGTGGAGGAGGGTTGCTTTTCAGACTGGAGGCTTGTGACCAGCAGTGTGTCACAAGGATTGGTACTAGGTCCACTGCTTCTTGTCATTTATATAAGTGATTTGGATATGAATGTAGGAGGTATGGTTAGTAAGTCTACAGATGACATCAAAACTAGTTGTGTAGTAGACAATGAAGAAGGTTATTTCAGAGTAAAACGGGACATAGATCATATGGGCCAATGGGCCGAGCAGTGGCAAATGGAGTTTAATTTAGATAAATGTGAGGTATTACATTTTAGTAAGGCCAACCAAGAGCAAGACTTATACAGTTAAAGGTAGGGAAGTGTTGCTGAACAAAGAAACTAGGTGAGCAAGTGAATAGTTCTGTTAAAGTGGACAGGTATAAAGGTTGATGAAGAATGCATTTGGCACGCTTGCCTTCATTCGTCAGTACATTGATTATAGAAGTTGGGACGCTATGTTGTGGCTATACAGGACATTAGTGAGGCCACTTTTAGAATACTTCATTCAAATCTGGTCACCCTGCTGTAGAAAAGATGTTATTAAACTTGAAAGGATTCAGAAAAGATTTACAAAGATATTGCTAGGATTGGAGGGTTTGAGCTATAGGGAGAGCTTGAATAGGCTGGGGCTATTTTCCCTGGATTGTTGGAAGCTGAGGGGTGACCTGATTTTATAAAATCATGAGGGGCATAGAAAGGGTGACTAGCCACGGTATTTTTCCCAGGGTGGGGGAGTCCAAAACTAGGGGGCATAGGTTTAAAATGAGAGAGGATAGATTTAAGAGGGACCTGAGGGTCAACTTTTTCAGGCAGCGGATGGTGCATGTATGGAATGAGCTCCCAGAAGAAGTAGTGGAAGCTGGTACAATTACAACATTTAAAAGGTATATGGACGGCTACATGAAAAGGAAGGGTTTAGGCTTGCAAATGGGACTAGATCAGTTTAAGATATCTGGTCAGCACAAACAAGTTGGACCGAAGGGTCTGTTTCCATACTGTGTAACTGTATGACTCTGTAACTCTATGAAATACTTATCTCAGAGATGCTGTGGACATTAATCTTCAAAAGCATTTTGATTTCTGTACAGTATTATGTATATTTTCATTCATAGTTTGCCTCGGTTCAGTTTTTTATGGCAAGGCAGTAAGCAAAAGAAAACCATTTTTGTACTTTTCTCTCTTCTTCCTTTATTTCCTGAGGGCATTGGTGGATGGGGTTATTGTCTCCCTAGAAGTCGTGGGTAGGTGACAGAAAGGGCAAATGAAAAGGGGGTTGGCACCAGAGAGATACCCACCTCCTTCCTGCCACCTCAATAATCAAGTTCTGGGTAGGAATGTATATGTATGATCTTCCTGACCTGTCACCAATTAAGGCCCTTCAGTGCTCAATTAACAATCATTTGTGGGCCACAATCTGTTTCTGGCTGGATTACCAGACTTCCCAGCAGGTGAGAATATTGGCTGTTTTCCCAACAAAGAGACCAGGAAGGCTTGTCTCATGGGATGGGTTTGAGACCCACCATTTGCCACAATCTGGGGTAACTGGGGGCATGGATAAGAGCAGGAGGAGTGACCACTGAAAGCCATTCCTTTATCTCGCCTTGACACCTTTCCCTCCGTGACTCTGATTCCGTCATTCCCCTTTCCAAAAACCACTCGCCTTCTTACCTATCCTGATTTTAATGGCGGAGCACCCTAGGTACCTATCAACTCTCTCCAACTCCAGCGGCTTCTGGCCTCTATTGTCCAGCAGCTTCCGACAGAATGGGCTGCTCTGGCACACTACCAGATGGGATGAGAATTTTGCTGATCAACACTTAAGTGCTTGATTGGTGGACTTCCGAGCTGGTGGGGTTGGGTTGGAGGGGTGATTGAAGTTCAGTCACTCCTAAAGATGTACTTCATCCAAAATGTATCAAATCTTGGCCAGTGTGTGTCAAGGCACTTCTTAAGATCAGAGGCTTATCACAGATTAACACTATTCTACTGTCCCTCAGTATCCATTATGGTGTTCTCCAAATAGTGTAACAAGCAAGAATTCAGCTGGTTATTACTTTCCCTAGCTCAGGAATTGCAAAGGCCTCAGCTTCAGTTTGGCTGAAGTCAAGCAAGTCAACAGAAGATATCCAAGATGTTGAATTGTCAGGAATTGCTTCATCGTGAAATTTATATTATGGCAATACTACAGAAATGTAATTTACTTCGTTCAGCTTCACTTCTTTCCCATTACATCTTGGAATGATATCAATTAATTATACTTCCTGATTATCAAACCAAACATGTCCATTTTATCATTTTCTCTAAAATAAGGTGAAATATTTTCCTTATCCATTTTTATCTTGGTTCCTGCCATTCTCCTTAAAGGAAGAAGCAGATTCCAAAGTACTGGATACATTTTGCCTGAGCATCTGTTCCATAGACAGTTTTCCAATGGTTGTAAATACAGTGAGGTTGATCCTTGTGTAATATGTGCAACCTTTGACAAATTTGACCACATCATCCATCTCCAGTGCATAGGTGGAACAGCCCTTGCTGATTCCATTTTTATTTGTCCAGGGAAGCAACTACAGTGTCTTCCATTCCCATTCCCCTGCTATTGCCTCCAGGGTTCTCCAAATTTCCATTCTTGGATCCATCAACACCGCCATTCTTTCCCTGGCTAGTTTGTCCCTACCCTCAAAGTAAAATAGTTAAAGACATACAGAGTGAATTTTCTTGGCAACTTGTCCCCCTTGGAAGAAAACTGCAATATGATTTCATTTCTCACTGCAACAAACCTAAAAGTTTCCTTCAGTTTCTATCAAGACTGATTGTTCTTTCAGAGTTCAGAGAGCAGCTAAAAATGTTTGAGGAGTTGGTCTCCTCTGTACCTCCATTCCTAATTGAAGAGGTTCTCAAGCAGCACTTGGACTTGATCACAAAGACCTTGGCAGAAAAATGCTCCATATTCAGGAAGAAATTAAATCAACTGGAGAACACTAAGGTAAAATAGCAAAATAAAAAATTCATAGCATTACCTGTTGTTTCATTTCTTTTTCTGACACTCGGTCATGTATTTCTCTCATGCTGCTCAATCAGTGACAATGTTCTCAGTCTAGCTGCTTCAGAGCACTGTTAGCACCACAATCCTAGCCTCCACGTAATTCATACACACTTATGATATTCTGGACTTGAATATAAAAATCTAGACTGACATTTCAGTGCAGTGCCTGAAGGAGAGCTGCATTATCAGAGGTGCTGTCTTTTAGATGAGGTGTTAAATTGAAGCCCAGTCTGCCCTCTCAGATAGACATAAAAAGAGCCACCAGCATGGTTTTGCAGAAGGCTGTAGCTCCAAGGCACAAGAGAATTTAATTATCAAATGTTAATTCAAAGATGCCTGACAAAGTGTAATTATAATGAGAGATGTGATTCACTTGTTTTGTCATGGTCTTCCCACATTCTTAAATTGTTTTTTTAGCTCTGTACCCAGACTATTAGTGTTTAATTTCACATTCTCACAAAAGCTCACAAAATAAAGATAGAAGTTAAAAGATAAGTTAGAATGCATTACATATAGAAATATTGGACATGCCCAGTGTGTTTTAAATAATGTATGTTTTTCCTTATTCTAATCCTTTGCATTAGAATGAGAACAAACGCAGGTTGCGACCAATTTTGGGCCATCCCAACAATGCGGAGGTGCTGGAGAGTTTGTGCAAAGAGGAGGAAGAAAGACAGAATGCTGAGGCCGCAGAGATCAATGGAAATGTAAAGGACCAGAAGGCAAGAAAACAATAAAAAAAATCCTAATATTGGATCTTAACAGCCTTCGATTCATTCTATCCAATTACAGCAGAGATTCAATGATAGGCAACCTTAAAATGTACAGTGGTGTTCTTTAGGAATGAAATTGCACTGTCCATCAGTTATGTACCAGAACCTAATGTTTTCTGTTTTGTCTTCCGTGATACGGACTTGTGTCAAAGGTAAAGAAGTAAAATGAAAAATGCATGTCACATTAGTTTTACAGTACATAATGTATGCCATTGGCTCCAATGACAGTTAGATAATTATAGGCTCTGCCTGGTGCAGTACTAAATGACACAGGCCAGCTGTGTACAGAATTAGGACTGGAATTTTCAATTCCCCAATGGGGACCGAAGCAAATTGCAAATAGCACTTTCAGATGAAGTGATAGTTTTCGTGACACCTCTAGGACTCACTCGAATTTTGAAAAGGGGAGATGGGAATCCACTTGCCTCCAATTAATGGCCTAATCAGCTCTGTGAGGAGCTTATTATGGGGTCAGGGAGGGCAAGAAGTGATTTTCGATATGTCAAGTATCTAACCTGAACAGTCTGGTTCATCTTTGTACCCTGCCATGGGGATAAAAGTATAGGTTATTTAAATGGAGAACGTGATCAGGACCTGTGGAATTTTTTGCCAGATTGTGCCTTACCTTCACAATGGCCGTTTGACCAGTGCTGCCTCCTCTCCTGAGCGTGACTGCCATCTGTGTATAATGATTGCTGGCAGTCCCTGGTGTCAATAATTGGACACCAAACCTGTCACGAGCCCAAATAGGGAATTTACATTTGAAGATTTTATTGCCTGAGCAACAAGATGTGGCTTTAGGTCAGGATCCAGACGATATCCAGGTGTTGGGTTCCTGACCGTGAGTCTCCACTGTGATAGCAGTAGTGGTGTTATAATTAGTCTTAGTTCTAGACATAGTTTTAATTAGACTAAATTAATTCATTTTTTTTTCCTTTTGTTGTAATAATCTTTGTTGTTCTTTTGTTAAAAGTACATTGACAGCCTCTTGTGAATATGTTCAGTGACTGACCACCATGGTAAACAAATTTCAGAATAAAACTTATGGTTTGTCAAGCTGGGATCTGACTTGTCTAGTCTTACCATCATATCGGATCATTACAACATTAATGCAAGATAGGTTTACCTCCTATATGTTCAGTGTCACATATCGAGCAGTAGTTTCACAGTACCGTAGTAAAAATGACTTTATTCTATTTGAAGAGCAATCTAATTCCTTCATGTGTGATTTTGCTTGTGTTTTCTGGTTTCATCCTCACTCATTAGGGCAATATGAACTTTGTCGAGTATTTTACCATCTCAGTTAGTATATGCCCATTGTCTCACTTTGCAAACGTTCTCATAATTATCATTTGATATTTACACAGAACTGTATGCTTGAACACGCCCAGAACTTTGTGGCTATACTCTCCTCTCTCTCTGAACAGCTCCTCCTGGAATATGACAACTTCCTCATTTTTGATAATATCCTGTCTGCTCGTAAGTGGTTGATCATTTTGTAGGTTATTTTTAATTTAGTCTGAAGTAATTTTCAGAATCTCAGAAAATGTGTCCTTACCATTGGAATATGTTGAGAATGCCCCATAAAAACACACCGTCATCTCACCGACTAATACTTAAACCAACTTGAGTCATGTCTCATATACTGTACCAGAGAATCACAGATCACCTTACATAAGAGCAAGGTGGCTGGGAAGTAGTAGATTAAGCATGGAGAATGAAGGGATATACTATGGGTATGACAGGCACACTTTTCTGGATGTAAAATATTATAATTTTCCCCCTGTAATAGTGCCCAGACTTATGTTAGCACATCTCAGGAATCATCATTTGCTTTTGATTGCAATAAAGTACTCTGACTACAATGACTGTTGTGATGTAGACAAACACAGTAGGAAGCACCACAGGACCCCACAAAAACATTGAAATTAGCAGCCACTTGATCTGAACTATTTCTGGATTATGGTAAATATTATGCAAGATTTCTATCAACTCCTTTTAGATGTTTACATTCATTTCAGCTACCAGGCAGGGCCTTGATTTAATAAAACCATCTGAAAGGATAACTGTATAGGTGCTAGCCTGGAACAAGAATTCAAGGCCTGATGTGGAGCTCTGAACCCACAACCTGTTGATTTAAAAGCAAGAGTTCTACCAAATGAGCCCGATCTGACATAAGTACTTAATGTACTGGCCATTTTCCTGCCAGGAAAATCAAAATTACACTGAACCGCTTGGGTAGAAATTCATGTCAGGCTATGAGACCAAGCTTGTGCCTTTTGTATCATCTACACAGTAAAGGCTCCATTTAATAACCCAATTCCAATGGGGCCAATTAAGGTGAGTAATCAAACAAGTGACAGAAACACATTTTCTGAAGAAGGGTCTAGACTCGAAACGTCAGCTTTCCTGCTCCTCTGATGCTGCTTGGCCTGCTGTGTTCATCCAGCTCTACACCTTGTTATAACAGAAACACTACTGCCTTTTTGTACCATGACCCAATATAAATTTTTATCCCCCTTCATTTCAATGCAGTTTACAAGAATCTGAATGCAGCCAACAAATATATAGAGATTTCGTCTCTCTTTTTCTCAACTGAAATCACAATTCATTGTGAATCCAGCTCCTAACACACATGAACCACACATGAAGACGTAGAAACTTAATGAAGAAGCCACAAAGTTCAGTTTTACTTCTGATTGTAGTTTCTCTGTCCCTTATATATTTCAGAACCAGAAGCAACAGGTGAAACTACTCGTCAGAAGCGACCTGGACCCCTGTTACAAGAGGACGAAAATACTTCCACCATTGAGATGTCCCGTGAAAGCAGGTAACCAGTTGGGGGTGAAACCTCATCACCCTGTTGTCCCATAGTGTTCTGTGGCCTGTTGTGTAAGGGCTCATAGACCCCAGAGCAACCTTGCAATGATATCATGGAACTGCCCCTCACGGAACATAAGTAGCAGTCACGATGTGGAGGTGACGTTGTTGGACTGGAGTGGACAAGGTCAGAAGTCACAGGACACCAGTTTATAGTCCAACAGGTTTATTGGAAATCACAAACTTTTGGAGCGCTGCTCCTTATGGAATAGACTTTCAAGAATGTGACAGCAAGATTAGAGCCTGTTAAATTTCTGAAAACCATGTATTGTAGTTTTAGTCTTGGTATTTAATAAACAGTGTTATAAAGAAGCCCAAACCTGAAGACAGTTCTTGACCTTGCCTTCTTCACAACCAATCTGTCTTGAACCCAAACTCATTGAAGTGAACATAAAGCCACAGAACAAAAGATGGCCAACTCGATATGTGTGAGTGAAGTTAGGGAAGCCTCGACCACATACCATCATTGCTGAATATTACTGACCCAGAAATGCAGACTTGAAAGACAGAAATGTCCTTAAATGTAGCAGCTAGGCAGCAGAGAGAGAAGATCACATGGATTTTGTTCTGGTCATGTCCATCCAGCAAGACTTGCAATGTAGTGAGAACCCAATAAATCATAACTGTATCTGTCTTCATGACTTATTCTTTAGTTGTGATGTGGGAAGTTTTGCAATAATATAAGGTGCTATATAAACAGAACTGCTGTTGTACAGTTAAGAAATGAGCTTTATGTCTGTTCCTGCATCTGCCTGAGCCATGCCTTTTCAGCCTTAAATTCTTTCAGCATGTTTTCCTTTCTTTGGAAATCATCTTACCTGTATCCACTCTTACCAGAACATAACATTACCAGCCTCACCCTCAGCCTTTGTGCAAACATGTACAGCAAGCCCCAGTAATGCATCTAGCCAGACTACAATCACCACAGCCTGTGAGCATCACCATATGGCGGACTGGCAGAACTCAACTCAGTTCAACTCAGCCAGATTGGACTCTTGGACAGAGCCCTAGATGACCCAGTCTCACTCTTGGGAGGCCGAGTGTGGTGTAACTTTCAGTGGAACACACCGCTGTGAGAGAGAGTTCAATTCCAACAATGCTTCTGTGCATCATTACAGATGAGAGTTACAGCTGGTTGTGTGGAGTGGTGTTGGGAATCCATTGATAAATAATGGGCAGCTCATCAAAAGGCTCCCCACTGCTAACATTATTAAATTATATCCTTCTTCTGCTTAGGAATCCCTTCCAATGTAGCAGTTTAAACTTAAATATTGGACATGATGTGAACACAATAGGTTGAGAGGTGTTGCTTCAAGGCACTAAACACAACATTGTAAAAGCAACATACCACAGACTGTGGAAATCTGGAATTAATAATGAAAATGCTGAAAATACTCAGTAGGTTAGGCAGAATCTTTGGGGAAAGAAGGTCAATTGTTTTTTATCTCAAACGGAAATAAAAATGTAGCCAGTTTTATGTAACTGGAGATGCAGAAAAAGAGGAAAGAAGAAAGAGAAATTCTGTGATAGTTTAGCAGAAAGGATCTCTAATCCCTCAGCTGCAAAAGCTTTCCGATTTATACCCAAGTAGCCATTTGTCCACATAAACTAAAGTCAGTGGGCTATTTGACCATATGAGGAGTAGCAACTATTTACTATCCTGTCCTTGGCTAACAATCCAACATGCATATCACAACAGGATTCATTACTGGGAATGAGGAACACTGCTTATTTCCTTCCAGCTGTCAGCACCTCTCCAACCTCCTAATGTCCCAATCGCTCCAGCCCTCACCAAAGCCACATTCTACCCCCACCCGAATTCTAGTACCCTAATTGCATCCATGGTTGTTACTGGTCAGTTGGGCACAAGCTAACCCAAACCCTTGTGGTCTGTACAGTTTATTACTGCCCACAACAAAACAGCAACTTGTATTTATAAAGCAGCTTTAATGCAGTGAAGTGCCCCAAGTCCACTTCCCAGAAAATGACATTAGGACCAAAATCTGGGTGACAGCAGAAGGTTTTAAGGAGTCCATTAAAAGTGGAAGAACAGAGAGGTGGAGAGGTTTATGAGAGGAATCCCAAAGCTAAAGGCCTAGGTAGCTGAAGGCCAATGGTGTAGTGATTAAAATTACTGCTGCCCAAGCATCAGAGGAGTGCAGACATCCCAGAGGGTTGTGTTTATAGAGATAGAGAGAGTTGAAGCCGTTTCAGACATTTCAGTCCTGTGGCGAGGACAAAAACCTGATTGGGGTGATTCAGACACTGAACTGCAGGAATATTGGGCATGGATTTGAGAGGCAATAACATGGTCAAGGACTTTGGAGAGGAATTTGAGTTTGGAGATAGGGCAATAATTTGCCAGGGTGGATTGCCAAGGATTGCTTTCCTGGGAAGAGGGATGACAGCAAAGTGATGACTTTACCCTGCAGGCCACCATGGATGGATCATGAGGAATTTTGGCATGTTGCATTGACAATTATGACTGTAATAATAAAAGAAAAGTAAGTATCACCAATACCATCAATCTTGTCCATTATCTAAGCTGTGCTCAGAGAACTTGCTGCTCAAGCTTTAACTGCATGTGATTGTTTGTTCTGCTGGTGGACCTCCGTGATTACACATTGTTACATTTCATTTTCATTATTCCTTTTTAAAGAACTTGGCCAGGAATTCCAGCCTATGAGCTTTCACAAATTTGTAAGCATTACAACGTCTGGAGAACTGCATCCACGGCACCTTTATTCGTGGAAACTGCGACTGTGACAACTGCGAAGACAGTACTGGCTGATCTGGCTGTACTTAAGTCGAGAGACGCTGCTTATGTGGTTAGTTCACCCCCGAGCCATCTGCTTTCTTTCTAATGATCTGCTGTCATACGTCTTTGCATGCAAATTATTATACAAGGTGTGGCTTTAAAAAAAGGAAAGTAATTTCTACCTCCACTGAAGATCTGGTGGGTCCATGCATCACCAAACTGGGCAGTGCTTGTGCTGAGTTACTTGAGAAAACAGCAAATGCAACAGCTGAGACTTTCCAGGTAGTATCCACCATAGCTCACTGGGTAGCACCTTCACCTCTGAGTCACAAATCTGTGGGTCCAAGTCCCACACCAGAGACGCGTACTCTAAGCTGTTTTTCCAGTGCAAGACACATTGAGTGACACACATGCACACATTGGCTGAAGCACACACCTTGACTGACACATAGATACACCATCTGTTCTTCTTTCCTTGGTTTTAATTTGATGTAATTATTGAATTTCTGTTTTCAACAGAAGTACAAGCAGTGTTTTCTGCAGGAGATGTCACAGATAGAACGTGAAACAGAGGGGCTGCTGATTAATGCCCAGAATTGGCGAGATGGCTGGAGAGGTTCAGTAGTGAATATAATGAAGTTGTATGCCCTGGTCCGACCTCCTTGTATTATTCCTGATCCTGTGTTTTAAGTTGCCCTATAGTTGCTCATCAGTTGTATTTTAATTCACTAAACTAATAAAGATATATATTTGACTTTCTCAATGATCCATTAACTTTATCAATTATCCATGGCATAACAATGCTGGTGCTGTACGACTATATTCATTTTGCAATTATTATTTACTTATGAACTCTGTGCTCCAGTTTCAGGATTCCAATCTATGCACACAGTACATACACATTGACACTAAATGACCATAGACTAGTCACACTATGTGAAAAGTAGGACACATATTTCAGTGGTGGCTGTCTCACCTCTTGAACCAAATGTTTGTGGATTCAAGTCCCACTCAAAAGACTTGTGAACCAAACCAAAGGTTGGCCAAGGGTCCTCATGCTGGTGTAAGATATCCTGTGGCACTGTTCCAAAGAAGAGCAGGGGAGTTCTCTCCTAACTCTTGGCCAATAGTTATCCTTCCGTCAGCATCACTAGAGATGGATTTTCCGTCACTATTATGTTGCTGTTTGTGGAAGTTTGCTGTCTACAAATGGCTGCTGCCATTTCCTAACTTTCTTTTAATCCTTGCATGGGGTGTGGGTATTGCTGGCAAGGCCACTATCATTCCTAATTGCCCTTGAACTGAATGGTTTACTAGCCCATTTCAGAGTGTCACTAGAAGTCAATAACATTGCTGTGACTTGGAGTCACATGTAGACCTGACCAGATAAGGATAGCAGATTTTCTTCCCTGAAAGGCATTAGTATTTTTTAAAATAAAAATCAACAATAGCTACATGGTTGTCACTATTGGATTAACTTTTAATTTCAGATTTAATTGTATTCAGAGCTCATCATCTGCCATAGTGGGATTCAAGCCCATAGTCCCCACAGCATTAGTCCAGGACTCTAGATGATTAATCAGTGACATGGCTACTACACCATCAGCTCCCATAGCAGGGACTACGTTTCATAAATAGTTCCCTGTCTGTGAAGTATTTGAGGGCGTGTTATGAAGTCATTTCCCTTGTCTAAGTAACACTAAACCATACTACGAGAATATGACAAATAAATTAAGTTTGAATGGCTAAAGGATTAATTTTGTGCTGAAACCAGAAGGTTCTGTCCATTAAAATTGACCACTGCATGAAACAGATATTTGGAGAGAAGCAGTAATTTCTGTAATTCCTACATCTGGTAACAATCCTTCCAGTGCTTTATTTAAGTGATGATTTCTTTGAGCACGCTTTGAAAGCAAAATCTCTATTGGAGGAATCAGCAACAAGCCAGATGCCTTTGCTCAAAGTCCACTCATGTAAGTGATTGAATGAATCTGCACAATTCAAGAGTAACCTCAATCCCTCTTAGAGCATTGCTCCTTCCTCAGGTGTAGTGAGAGAGGAGGTTTCAAGAAACAAAATTTATAAGTATAAGATCAAAGGATCACACAACTGATGCGAATGTATTGAATTAACTTAAAATGGCTGGCTGACTCCCTCCTGTTAAATCTTTAATCAGTTAGAAAGGAGATACAGGTTTTGATTGATTAAAATGCAAATCCCAGCATGTCTTTCAGGTCATTTTATTATAAAGCCAGTCTGACTCCAGGTTAGACAGATTCTAAACAAGGCCTCACACCTAAAATGCATTGTCTGACCTGAGATGTCACCTCTTGTATACACTGATAAAACCTTTAGTTATCTCAGGGCAGTGACTTGACAGGAGGGAGTCAGCCAGCCATTTAGGTTTATTCAATACATTCGCATCAGTTGTGTGATCCTTTGATATTTTACTTATAAATTCTGTGTCTTGAAACCTCCTCTCTCACTACATCTGAGGAAGGAGCAACGCTCCGAAAACTAGTGTTTCAAATAAACCTGTTGGACTATAACCTGGTGTCGTGTGATATTTGACCATGTCCAACTCAGCCTGACACCGGCACCTCTGCATCATCAATCCCCCTCACCACTGGTTTCTCCAGCTGCTGTCTGCACAGACAACTTGGATGGTCTGAGCTCTCAGCCATTCACAGAATTTATGCCTTAGGGATCAAAGACTGTGAGTTTAAATCCCACTGCAGACATTTGGGTATAGTTCCACTGTTATGCTGCTCTGCTCATGGTGACACCTTTCAAAATAAATGTTAAACCAGGGCCCTGCCTATATTCCCAGGTGGATTTAAATATCCATCCCATAATATTATGAATTAGAGCCGGGGTGAGAGTTAAACCAGTACATATCCAATGTCACTAAAATTAGTCATCGGTCATCAGTCACCATTAGAAAGCTGTTTGTGGTACTTCATGGTGCATAGATTATCTGTCTAGCATTGCAACAGTGGCTTACAAGAAAGCAAATCATTGACTGTAAAGCACTTTGGAGCATCCTGAATTATTTTCTGTAGGCCCCAGGCAATTCATTGTTCTTGATTTCTATAGCTTTTTTAAGAGCAGGGTTCATTTTCTGAAGCAAAAGCAATATACTTTAGATGCTGGAAATCTGAAATGAATGTGGATAATGTCAGTCAACAGATTCAGTCAGCATCTATGAAAAGGGAACCAGGGTTGTAAGGTTGTCACTCAGGCGTGTTAACATTAAATGTCAAATGCTTCCATGCAGTTTCTGCTTCTACGAAAAGTGTCTTTGCTAAGGCTGGCAAGGTGTGTTGTGATGGTCTATTCCAGTCCTCTAGATTCTTGGGCTCCTTTTAGTTTGGTGATGTTATCCTCCTTCAGAATCATTTCATTCCAATTTACTCTCTTAATGTATCATCCCAGTGAGTCCAAAACTGCCCCGAGTCCAACAGTAACTCACCCATTTGACTACTCTCCACTGTCCAGTCATGGCTACATTGAACAGGTAGCTATTTAGCCACTGCAAGCACGGCTGCACTCTATTCTGCCCTCATCTATCTAGTGTACATCGGGGGATTGGGGGCGGGGGGGAAGCAAAGCTATAGTGTTAATGTTGCTGAACCAGTAATCCAGAGACTCGAAATGTTAGCTTGCTCTCTCCATGGATGCTGTTTGACCTGCTGTGATCTCCAGCATTGGTTGTTTTCGGTACAGATTCCAGCAAATGCAGTCATTTGCTCCTACGTAATGTTCTGGTGACGTGAGATTGAATCCCATTTGAATGCAATAAAAATCTAGAATAAATCATTGAGGATTCTTATGGCATAATGGTGTATTCTTACCTCTGAGCCAGGAGGCCTGGGCTCAATACTATCATGCCCAAGAGGTGTATATTAACATCCCCGAAAAGAATGATTGAAATAACTCCTGCAGAGATTGACATGCACTTTACAGAAGGTGCCACTAGATGGTGATGGGGAGCAACTGATATCTTCCCCCTTCATTCCTTGGTCTCCAGAGCAGTGAAACCAGATGTTGGAAAACATCTGCATTTATGTAATGCCTTTCGTAATCTCAAGCTGCGCCAAAGTGGTTCACAGTCACTGTTGTAAAATTGCAGCCCAACTACTGTCAACTGGGATGAAGCTAAGGGGTGTGCCTCAGTGCCACACCTTAATGAGTGGGTGGCAGGGAGTTGAAGGATGTTTATGGTGTAGTGGTATTGTTGCTGGATTTATGAGTATAAAGCCACAGGCTAATGTGCTGAGGTCATGGGTTCAAATCACACAATGTCATGGAATCCCTACAGAGTGGAAGCAGGCCATTCAGCCCAAAAAGTCCATACTGACCCTCTGAAGAGCATCCCGCACCCCCTACCCTATTCCTATAACCCTGCATTTCCTATGACTAATCCAGCTAGCCTGCACCTCCCTGGAAACAATGGGCAATTTAACATGGCCAATCCACCCAACCTGCACATCTTTGGGAGGAAACTGGAGCACCCAAAGGAAGCCCACACAGACACATGGAGAATGTGCAAACTCCACACGGATAGTCACCCAAGGCTGGAATCGAACCTGTGTCTCTGGTGCTGTGAGGCAGCAGTGCTAACCACTGAGATGGCTAAAATTTATAATAACAAACTAGGCTAATAATGACCCATGTAACTGTTACCGTAAAAACCCATCTGGTTCACTAATATCATTTAAGGAAGCAACTCTGCCATTCTTACCCAGTCTGGCCTACATTTGACTCCAGACCCACATCGATGTTTTAACTGCCTGCTGGGAAATTAGGCGAACACCCAAGTCCCATGAATGAATGAGAAAAACAAGGATATACATTACAAACTCAATTCTAATGTAGGGTATATATCTGAAATATGAAGCACTCCCTCAGCCATTGACTGTGTAACTCCAGCATTCGCTGGTCTTATTTTCACATTTTGAGCTTGCACAGCCTTTCCTTTATGAAAGATGAAACCTGCTCTGGTTTGATCAACACGCTAAAGTACAACCTTTTGGTTTTATTTTTCAGCTTCCCGGTGGGATTTAACGTCCTCAGGTTGCCCCCCAGAAGATCCTGACGCAGTTCCCTGGTGGGCACTGAGATGCAAGTGTTCTGACTGCAAATTTCCCTAGCTGCTCTCCCAGCATGGTGCAGCTATGGTGTTGCCATGGTGACAGACAGCTAAAAGGGTTGTAACACATTTCTGTGTCACGTCCTTACAAGACGTAAACAGACAGTTGAACAATGCAGCATCAAGGGCTTTTGATTGCTCCCAGAGATTACCAGGCATCATTTGAGATGACCTACATTATACATTGCTGAGCTTGATTGAAGACATCTTGATGCTGTCCCTTATAAGGACTTCAATCATGGGAAATGGAGTATGCAGGGCAGAAGAGGGCTTTGATTAACAAGGTTATGGAAATCTAAAGGCTGCAGTGTGAATTCCTGCAATATAAGTTCCTAACATTTGCTGACACCTTTGTCTGTTTTTAACAGTTTCTCAAACAAAGAGAAAAAGGTGCAAAGTCTTAGAATGTGGCCAATACGAGCCAAGCATCTTTCTATTGCTAGTACTTAGTTGACCCGAGAAGGTGCTAGTGAGCGATATGGAGATGACTATCAGCCATAATTCTTGACCCAAGTGAGGAGTTTGTGGGTTCAAGCCCCATGAACAAAGACTGAAGCACAGTATCTGGGCTGGCTCCCCTAGCATAATGCTTGAAGGAAT